TACAACGAGTCGCGCTACTGAAGGCTCGCGGCTGGTCCTACTCGGCACAACACCACCACTTCGCTCCGGCGCTACACACACCGCGCTTCACTGGGGCACTCGGCCATAACGCCAGTAACGTCACACGCTGTCACGTTTGTGTCACTGTCACGCTCACAAACGCTCTAGTTAACGTTGCCGAACTAGCGCGCCTGTGTGGAGGAAAGGAAAGAGCACATTCGTCGGGAGCCGCTTATTGATTTCACTTTGGTATGCGCAGAGAGGATTCGTACAGGACCCTTGTCTGCTATGGTTTTTTTTTTTTAAGAGAAAATGGCGCAAACGATTTGCCAAATAGTGTTCCCCGCAGGGCTTGTGCTACACGGGTTGGCGCGTAGATAGAATCACTCCCTCCACAGCGCGGTGGTTCACGATGATGATGAAGGAGAGTTCCGAGAACATGAGGACAGGTCAGTCATGGCCCGCCTGTCATATTGCGGCAACGGCGCGCGACGGGCCAAGGATGGGAAAATAGCTGCCGCCACCTACAAAACAAGACCAGTTTTCATATTGTAATGAAGAAAAGGATAATGAAGTACTGATTATTTTCTCTGAACAGGTGACCTATGAGCGATGTATTTCGCGACAGAACTATACCGCCACTCACTGCTTCACAAAGGCAGTCTTGGGCAAAAGGAAAAATTTTCGTGCCTCTGTAAAGGGACTAAAACTATTACCTCCCACTAAAAAGGATGCTCGATCCTACTTCGGTGTTTCCGGTGTATTACTACCTGCAGAGACGGGCTACAGACACGGAGAGAGTGTGTCCCTTTCGCCCAAAATGGTTTCCTGCACGTCTAAAAGGGGCAAAGGGAGATAAGGTGTTAGTTTATCTCCGTCAACCAGGGCCGTAGCGCGTGGAGAGGCCCGCGGTACTCGATTCGCGCTGCGCTGCACCATTGAGCCATGAATCAGTCAGAGCAACGGGCCCGGCCCGGCTGGGGCAGGAGGGGCGGGGCGGGGCGGGGCTGCTCCGCACCGCCTGAATATTCACGCAGCTGCACACCAAGTGCCTATCGGGTGCCACACGCAGCGGCGGTGCCGGGGCTGTGCTCATTACGTACGTTACCACCCAGACCATATTGTTACCGCGAAGCAACTGCTGGCGTAACACAAACTGGACATGCGAATTGCCCGAGCAGATCCCACTTGCAAGGCTCTCACGTACGAAAGGCGACATGGACGGTAAATCAATTTTTACAAATAATTAGAAGTCACGACAAAATGAGATGACGGTTGAGAGGACAGACACAGGCAGCAACAATGAGTGCGTGAAATTCTATGACTGCGACCCGACTCCCGTTCAAATTTCAGTGTTCAAGCGACGCGCCAGCAATCGGGAGGTGGCGCGCGCTTCTCGCCGTACTGCGCGCGGAAGATCGCCGAGAAGGTCGTCACCACGGCCGTCGTCGTCGTCGTCGTCGTCGTCGTCGTCGTCGTCTTTTTGGCGCCCAAGAGCCCCTTTTAAGGCGGACCGCCATCTTGAGCCGGACTGATTGACAGCAGAATCGCACCGCGCGGCAAAATAACAAGTGGGTATCTTTGGGAGTTTAATTTACTTGGTCACACACACACACAGGCTCACACAAACACACATTCACACACATACACTATTGAGCGACTGACGGGGAAGCGCCCGGCCACACCGTGCCGATCGGACAGGACTGCATCGCCTCGTATTCACGTTGTCGCTGCGCGACCAGGCTGCCTCCTCGCCGCTCACCACCACGCCACTTACGCACCGTACCAGAGCGGTAATGGGAATCATGATGACAATTCGAAATATTTCTTAACGAAATCTGGCCGCTCATAACACGTCGCACAAATTCAGAAACGACTGGAGCGTGAAAATGTCAAGTTCTAGCTGTCGTAACTCCACAAAAATCACCCCATCTTCTCATCTTTAAACTTGTAAGTTAAGCTTTTCCCTAATTTGTATTTTGGAAAGAAAATACAGCAACAAAAAAATTGAAAAAAATTATCTTTGATCAGCAGGCTCGATACTCCCGCGTAAACTTCATCAGGGCACACAGCATTTCACGACAATCCCGGCAGAGAACGGAAGCACGCCAGTCTCCCTCTCCGACGCCGCGCCGCCTCCTCTACCCGCCACGACGAGCGCGACATCTGACGGATCCAGTGGGAACTGCCTCCACTACCGCAGCCGCCGCCTTGACAGAGCGGCCTGCAGGGGCGTGTGAACCCCGAGGGAGGGAGAGCAATGCGAAGGAGATGGGGACGGGAGGAGTGGACAGGCAAGAGGGAGGGAGAAGGAACGTCGATCGCTTAGACTTTTCAGCCTCGGCAGCGGCGCAGGTCCCAACAGCTGCCGCCGCCGCTGCCGCCGCTGCCGGGGACAGGGGACGGATGGATAGGTAAATGGATGGACGCTATTCCATTCCACCGTCTCCAATAATTGCTGGCGAGCCGAGCCCGAGCTCGCTGGACTCTTCTCGTATGCAAAGCGGCCGCTGCAGAGCGTCGCGAAACTGTCCGTCCAGCGCGTCTAATGAAGGGCGCTGCCGGGGAAGGGAGGAGGGGCGCGGCATTCAACCGCTCAGCTGGAGATGGATGGGCTGCTAGGAGCTTTATTGGTGGCAGGAAAAGGGGCTGAAAGATCTGGACGGTATGTAGTGTTGTCTTATAGCTCAAAAGGTTTTTTGAATGATGCTCGACGTCACATATATGTACTTCGAGGGAGCCCCAAGTCAACGTGATGTGTTTATTGCGCGAGGATCCATGTAGACCACGTATCGCGAGGCGGCCACGTGCAGGCGCAGCCCGCCCCTCCGCTTCCGGCGGCCTTTTCTTCTTTGATTTCACACCTGGTGCTGAATCATACGACGAACGCACGCTACCTCGTGAATGCACCATTCGACCGGAAAGACACTGGTCAGCCCGATCGGAGCGCTGCATAAACTTTGGCCCCGGTAGCCCGCCAGCCATTGTGTGAGCGCGGGGGAGCGCTGGGCGCCCGGGGGTTAGGCAACCCGAGGACAGCGGTGCGCGTGGCCTGCATGGGCTGCCTACCTCGCAGGCGGGCTGGAGCCATCGCATGAATGCGTGAATGCGACACCAACGCAAATCCTTAAAATGAAAATGGTTCTTAATCCACTTTCGGCAGTCTTTTCTTTGATTTGACACTGACAAAAACAGAGTGCGATCATACAGACTGAAGCACCCCCACGCGGAATAGGACAGGAAAACGACACGAAAGGCTGAAGGATGGGTCTACATTTTTATATGCCTTTGATAAACGAAAGCAGAGCGCCTGTAAACGGACTGAAATACCCCAAAAATTGAGTGCGTTTCCTATTCGCAAAGGCCCGCACGCGCGAGTCACTAACGCGATAACTTGTGGAGACGAGGTGGTGCCATTTCCTGAAGGCAGCGCGGCGAGGAGGGAGAGAGGAGGGCGAAGGGGAAGGCTGAATGAGCAATAAGTAAGGCGGTGTGAGCCTGTAGTGCGAACAGCTCCCTCTGTCGCACTCGTGGTCGAGGCCCGATTGTGAGAGAGATAGACAGATGCGCGAAAGACAAACTCCGCCATGATGGCCTGAGGTATCATTCACTGTCCCACTCGCGGCGAGCGGCGAGGGTCCTTTATTTACGTAATCAGTCGGCCAGTGAGACAGTCAGTGCAAACACTGGGTGGTCGAACACCGGCAGCTGAGTAAGTTTTATTTGAACTCAAGCGCTCTTTCTGCACACCTACACTGGAAAAACAAAGGTAGAACTCAAAAGGTTTTAATGTGTTTAAAAGGGCATTTAGGCATACCATTTTTCCCAGTGTATCTAAAAGGAGAAGTAAGGAGGACAAATAGTATTCGAAACAAACAACCGAAACTGCACATATAAAATCGTCTTTCCCATTACCCTTCCCTACATCGATAAAAAAAAGTGTGCACTTTTGCACACTTTAAGTGTGATCTCCACTAATGAGCACACACGTTACGGTATTTAATCATATCGCACACTCGAGCGCACAGTGCATAGTGTGCAAAGTCCGTACCGAAAGAAGAAACGTGTTCTTATCGCAAGAAATGCTCTTGAAGCGTGCAAGAACATTTACTAATCCAGGCCCCTCAAACTCACAGCGCCGCCGAGCCACAGGCGAGGTATGCAACACTCCTTACTCTCTTTCGAGCGGTTGTGTGCATCTCGGATCCAAAGCTCCGTCTCGGTCACTTTGGCGCGAAATTCATCAACTGCTTGAATGAAAGTCAGCTGCCTGCGGCCACCCGCCGCCGTTCGAGTGAGTGGTGCGAGTCGTCTCACTCGCACCCGCACCCACTGGTACAGCGAGAAATCAAAACAGTTTGAACGAGAGTCGAACCCACGACTGCCTGGTCAGCCAGCGCCAGCACCGGCGCGCCGACGCCTCAGCCCACTGAGCTACCGCTGCGCTGAGGAGGGCCGGCGACCCGGTGCGGCGCGTTCTGAGTCTGAGGTCTCTCTCGCTCTCACACACACGGACTAGTCGGACTATTGGAGATAGTAAGAAGGGGGGATATAACCATATTAATTACTGTAAAGGGAAAATGGTTGCCCTCCTACCCCCTGTCCGCAACAAAACCCTCATCAGGAAGTCGCATCCGTGTAAATATTGGTAAATATGGCAAAAGAGTGCCCCGCCCCCTTTCTTTCCCG